TTCCTTCCTTCCTTCCTTCCTTCCTTCCTTCCTTCCTTCCTTCCTTCTTTCCTCTCTTCTATCTCTCTTTCTTTTCTCTCTCATTCTTTCTTTCTTTCCTTCTTTCTTTTTTTCTTTCTCTTTCTCTCTCTTTTCTCTATGTGTATGAGTGCATGTCTGAAAGTTACTTTTTACTTAATCAAGCAGAGCCCTTGGGAAAGGGTAGAGAACTCAACTTGCAGAAACCCCTGAACCTTCTGGAATGACAAGACCCATCTATCCAACTCAATCTTCTCAGTGATGAAACTTCATAATTTTCTTTCCACTTGGGATTAAAAATCCAGGCTCACCCTGCATTGTATTGAGTACAAGACAGGACATAGGATTCCTCACGAAACCAGAAGTGGGTCTAGAAGCCTTCAATGCAATAATCCTCCTAATGAAATCAACTGACCAAATTCTCCATTAACTAATATAAAAAATAAAAGGAATGTGACCATGTTTGTGTCACCAACTGGGAAAATAAATGGGTCAGACCATTTTCATTATATTAATCAATATTTTGACCAAATTGATTGTGCCATTGAGTAAAACTAGACATAAATTAAATTTGCAATGCTTTCACTTTGCTAGAAGTTAATAATTAGTGTAGCCTGCTATTTGCCATTCGCTGTGGTTGGCTATAGCAAGTCACTGTGTACCAGACAGATGAGCTCCCTGCAGGGTGAAGCTTAGGTGAAGCTAAGCATTCTTAATAAGAACTGCCTCTGGTGATTAAAAGTCAGAAAGATCCTTCTTTAAACATTTTAAGAAATCCTAATAAGCTGAGTTTGGTTTCACCCCAGGACTACTCCAGACAGTGATGAAAGTTGCTATTTACTGAACCTCTCACACTGTTACTGAACCTCTCACTGCTAAACACATCACACATATTTTCTTTCATTCCCATGAACATTTTACTTAAAAAGTGAGTTATGTGAGGTTAATTAAAGTTAAAGGATTTCACTTAAAAGGTGAAGGGTGGACAAGGCATCACCTACCAGAGCACCGCTGCTCAGCAGAATCATGAAAACGATGAAGGTTTCAAACCAGTTGTGCTCCACTATTTTATAGCAAGTTTTCCTCAAATTCCACCAGAGTTTCCCTTTGCCTTCCTCTATGCTTATCTGACAACACTTGAACTTCCGTACACAGTCTGAAATATGTGAGAGTAAATGAAGAGAAAATCATTACTCTTTGATGATGTATATTTGGGTTGGTGAGAGATTTGTCAATATTATTACCTGATGATACATTGTAAATAACTTTTATTTGATAAGATGGCTTCCACTGAAAAAGAAATCAAAATCAAAAATATGGCTTTTAATCACTTGTTCAAAAACTTTATTTTTATGTTTATAGGATTGTCTAATGGATTATATTACATTGTAAAAACTTGCCAAAAAATGGAAAAATCAAAGGAAAAATACAACCACCAAAAAGTTGATATTCCCATTCTGTCCTTATCTTATGAGTGTAATTCCACTTCTATATGGACATTTCATAAATATGCAAACTCTGATTAGTTCACTAAGTGATAACATTAACAATTCCCATCTCTTTTAAGTAAATAATTTATGAACTATTTCATAACATTTCTGTAAATAAATTACTCAAATTTATATAAATATTCTGCTATTATTTGATATTTCAGTTGATTTAATTCTGGCCATTAATGATAGCAATGTAGTAAACACCTTTGTATAATTTGTCAACTATTATATCAAAGGCTCTTCAAAAAATGTTTATTGAATACCTGGTATAGTTGAAGAATTACACTGAGCAAATGATATTATAATGTGTAAGATAATAGCTTTATCTCCAAAGAGTGTACATTTTAAGTAGGGATGATTTGTTTACAAAATACTACAGTTAAAGAAAGCAACAATCATCACAAGACAAAGTATTATACTATGAGAGTTCTTTGGTAAAGCTAATTTCTGAGCTTTATGGAGGAGATGAATTTGAGGCTAGATCTTGAAGGACATATAAGAATCATATCTATTAACAGAACATGAAGCCGTGAGGATGGAGGAACAATGACTGGAACAGAAAGAATTAGGAGTCCAGAATGGAAAAGTAGTCTAGGCACAGTGGCTCATGCCTGTAATCCTAGCATTCCAAGACGCTGAGGCAAAAAATCACTTGATGTCAGGAGTTTGAGACCAGCTTAAGCAGGAACGAGATGCTAGTGCATCGTGGTGGGTGCCTGTAGTCACAGCTACTCAGGGGGCTAAAGCAGGAGGATTGTCTGAGCCTAGGAGTTTGAGGTTGCTGTGAGGTAGGCTGAGGGCATGCCACTCTAGCTTGGGCAACAGAGGGAGACTCTGTCTCCATAAAAAAGAAAAAAAAAAAAGATGGCAAGTGTAGCTTAGAGCCCAAGGTTTTAGGTGGTTTCACACACAGCATTATTATTAAGATATTTGATCCATACTTCAACTAAAAAACTTTAGCTTACCTCAGAAAATCCTTCTGAGGTTACCCAGTGAAATATTGCCCCATATCATTGAACTCAGAACACATTTTGATATTTTTACTACTTATTTTTGCTCATAAATAATAAAAAACTTTGACCTTAACTAATACAGAAGACTGTTACTCAAGGACAGATTTAAATGAAAATTTCAGAACTAGTACCCATTATACAAATGACAGTGAAGTAAACAGCAAATTCTTTCTTTCACTTCCTTATTTTTTCTTTTCTTTTTTAAAAACCTATTAGAGATATGTGTGATTTAGCTTTCTCTGTTATATCACGGAAGGCCACAGAAAAGCCAGTTAGTAGCCTTTCTCAGAGTTGAACAGGATGTATCAAAATAAGAACATTTGATTACGTAAATTAAAGTTTACTTTTTAAACAGTGGCCTCTGTTGTGTTATGAAAAATGTAAAAAAAGTAGCAAATACAGTAGGTAGACAGGTATAGGTAATTACTGTACAGATAGACAGATGATAGATAGACAGGGAGATAGGAAAGATTAATAGAGAAGAGGAGACTAGTGGCCACGAGTGTCATCATTTTGCTTTTACCTTCTGTAAAACAGGCTTCAGGTTCCAGGGATTCCTCAGGTTCCACCTCGGGTTGCTCTCCCTCCGCGGGAGCTCCTATATCAACTGTGCTGCCTTCAGATGAACTAGTTGCATTTAGCTTCTGAAAATCAACCCCACAAAAAAGCTTTTAATTATTCTCTTTCATCTCAATATACATATTCATTCGGTGTACCCCTTAGTCTTCCGTATGCATTTTCTTGATCTGTAATTTAAGAATAACTTAAACATAATGCCAGTCTGCTTTGGTAAAGGTATGGGGTCACAAGATTAGACACAGCACCACAGTATTTTGTTTTTCTTTAAAATACGGTGTTAACAGCTCAAATAACTTTTTTGTTTGAACCCACGGATAGAGATTCTGAAATAAAATCCTGCACAAAGCTTAGGTAAGCCGCCAGAGTCACCTGGTCATCTATGATCTTGCTTTTGTCAATTAGTTGTTAAATGATATAGTTTGTTTTATTCTAAAATTGTGACCCAACCAACAAAAGCTGCACAAGTGTATTTTCATGTCAAATTCAGAAAAGATTTGATCAAGTGCACATAAACAGCAACAGTCTAAAGTCATCCACTTTTCATTGACATGAAAACATATACTACTGGTTGTTATTAAATAGATTCTATGATTTTCTAATTCCAAAAAGAGCAGCACATTGTTAGCTATATAGCAAGAGCCGATATTTTGCATTCTCTTTGGCCAATGCACTCCTGTATTTCATTGTGCATTTGGAAACTACTTGTTACTTTGGCACTCTTACCTGTCCTGTTTGTACAGGCTGAAATAAATCTTTGGTTGTTGTTTGGTTTTCCTTTATGTTAAATCAGATATCACCAAAAGGAAAATGTAATAGAAAGAAGCTGTCTTAATTCTTGAAATGCAATAAACTTTAGCCAGATCAGGCCATTCTTGGGATCAGCATAAATGAAGGAATCCCAATCTTTAACCTGGTCTCAAAATGTGGCAGGAATGATGCAGGGCCAGGTGTGAGTGCCACGCGGAATCAGAGTAGTTTGGGCCACAGCATTCTCGAACCTGTGACAATGTTATTACCATTAGTGCATAACATTAGTTAATGGTTGAGCTGGTCAGAGCTAGTTTATACAGGGATGGGGGAAGCACATGATAAAATGCACGCTGAACTACATTGAACTAGAATAAAATGGATGCTGTCATCAGACTGGAAATACTAGACTCATATTCGGGCTGAGGATTACATGAATTTTCCCTAGGAAGATGGTCTCTTTATTTTATAATAAGAATTTTCTTTACATAAAATATTCACTTAGCATGGTGGTGCTGATGAAGTAAAAAACATTGATGTATAACATATATATGAGATTAAAGATGTTCTTATCACAGGTAATTTCAGAATATCAATGATAGAATAAAATCTCATGCCTTCTTAGAATTAGGTTGGAGGTTATTTTTTAATTTGTCCAAAATAGTTAAATCAAAAAATATATATTATAAGGTGCTCAAAGGGATTTTATTTCTTTTTCTACTTATCTGGTATATCATATCAGATAAATAATCATAATATATTTGTTATTCAAATTTGAATGTATTTTGTTCAAGATGAAATACCAAAGTCAGAAGAGGTATTACAATGTTCTAATTTTTTTTAGACTTTTTCTGATTTCCTAACTTTTGTTTCTGGGTTGAATTCTCTGAGATAAGTATAACTATGTTTATATATGGATAATTGACTAAGAAATGACTAAAACATTCTCTAGTTTTAATCTAGCTAATAAATGTGTTACATATTAGGCATCTGATTATACTGATCTTGTCATTTCCAGGATGTCAAAACAGAAAACAGATAATTGGAAAAACTGAGGCTTAGTCACTCCTAGTCTAACTGTAGACACCCCACAATAGGAAATGAAAAATACTCCTTTAACAGATCACACTGCAAACACAGAACCAAGTAAGATGTGACCTGGGGCCATGGGGAAAATGAGCACTGTCTTCAGGGACCTCCACTGCTCAGGCTGGCAATGGGGAACAACTGTTTCAGAGTCTACATCAGTGCTAAGTGATTTGCAGATGCTCAGTAAATTTGGTTAAAACATGAATGCATGGGGAGACACCTATGGCTCAAAGGAGTAGGGCACTGGTCTCATACTGGAGGTAGTGGGTTCAAACCCAACACTGGCCAAAAAAAAAAAAGAATGCATGAATGAATAAATGAACAAAAACCTCCTAACAGAATGAAAGCTAGCCCTCGGGAGAGATTTAGAGATGTCGCTAGAGAATGTATTACATCAAATCTTAGTTTAAAATGTGCATATTTTCCATAGGATCTCTGTAACATTGACTACCACTCCTAGTTGTTACCACGGTAGATGCCTTTGAGAAGACTCGTGTCACCAACCCATTTCTCTCTTCACCATCTATTTCGTATCACGCTGCTTTCTCACTTCCATAAGCTCTTCAACAAGTCTGGGCTCCTAACTCCTGCCAACCAATATCACCTACAGTATGTACCTGAGACTGTTCATAATTCTTTCTACAGTTTACCATATATTTTGACTTTTGGTAAGGTGTGCATCAAATAGTTTCCGACACATGGATTCTGGTCTCCCCAACCAGCTTGTAAGACATTTAGGAGAGAACAATACACTCTGGGACCTATAAGTAATACGCCAAATACAAGAACAGACTCCAAATTGCCAGCATGATTTTCATTAAATATTGAATAAATTGTCTGTTTTCAATAGCTTGTTCAAATTAACAGTTCACTAACTAGTTTAATTAGAGACTATTAATCAATTTGTCGTACTTGGTTGAAAACGAGAACAATTTAGTTTTTTCTAATCGCTTTTTATTCATTATCTCTGGAAATTCTAATAATAAAAGGCATCATTCCTATATTCTTCTCTTATTTAAGTCATATTTAAAAATAGGAAAACGAACATTGATTTTTCCTTTTCCTTTTAATGCACTGCTTTAGTTCGGACTTAGAATTAATAGATACCTTTTTCCCTAAAGCCAAATGTTCACCTATCTAAATGTCAGGTTATTACTTTTCTAAAAGTGCAATTTGAAAGTATTATGCTTCTAGATTTATTACTTTTAGCAAAGATCATAGTTTTGCCATCTTTGAATCCTTAGCACCTATTCCAATGTTTGTGTTTAACAAATGATTGCTGAGTAAATGATTGAATGACCAGTACATTGACTTTTTAATCAACCACTGCTGCTAAAATCTCCTGAAACTTACTTTTACTTTCAAAAGAATAAAAATAATATTCTTTCTTAATTTCAGAGTAACACAAATCCTTCAAGATTCTGAGTTGTGTAAGTAATGATTAATAACTCTTAAGATTATGGGTGCTGTTTTAAAAGCAAGCTGCCAATTGTCCAGACCAAAGATGAGTCTATGAAGTAAGTTATAGTTTAACTCTGGAGTCAGGAAAACTAGTAGAAAATCATTTTGAAGGTATTTTTCTTCTCACTCAACAAGTATGTACATGAGCCTACAGAGTCACAGTGGTATATGGAACCTCTTTCTGCCCCACCTTCCCCTGAACTGGAGCACAGGACCCATGATGTTATTACTTGAATACTTTTGCATTTCTGGAACAGAGAATGTAAGGTATATATCATCCCTTTACCTCAACCAATCTAGTACGTATTTAGAGAAATAAATGTGGGTTTTATCATATTGTCTAAAGTCATACTGAATCAGTATTTAGATTCTAGGTCTTCCCTACCCCATTCTGCAGAATTTTCCAGAGAATTGCCTTGATGATTCATGAACATATCCTTTCTTTATCAAATTAAAACATCTAGTAGCCTGGACATTTAATTAAATCTTGTATTTTCAAGATAATACTTGTGATCTTGTTGATTTCCTATTTTTTCAGTATTAATTCACATTGTAGTCATCATTTTGAAATGTATTAATGTTGTGCTAAATACACATTAGAATATTCCATAAGCTAAAAATTTACTTTAAGAGATGATCCTGAAATGTAGGCAAGCAATTATGATTTGTAAAACTTTTCTGAAGGACATTAGTTCAATGACTTTCTTGAAATCACATTACAGACAAATATTACACTATTATCAAATATGTTGTTGGTTAAAACAGTTAAAATATATAAGAAGCCCATAAAAATCAACTGAATCAAATAAAGAATATAAAAATCTTCAGATCCATATAAGGTTATAATTATAATCACCCTAACTGCAGTGCAAATACACCAATTAGAACTTTAAAATGTGTATCATGATATGGAATTATTACAACTCAGACTCTTTCAAAGAAGAATTTAAAAGGTTGCCTGCAAATGTTCCCACCTGGGCACCATTCACTGAAAAATACTACGTAAGTGAGAGTCTAAAATAGCTAAAAGTAGACCAGTTTGACAAGTTGTATACTTTCCTTTGGTTTCTATGGTTATTTAGATTCTGTTTTTATAACCTTTACTTATATGTCAGGAGGCAAGTGAACTGAATAATATTGTTGCAGGAGCCCTTGCCTAGTCAAACTTTAACAAAATATGAGTGCATCCAAGGACAGGATGGTAAAGGTACCCCAACAAAAGCCAATTTTATTTGCTCTGAAGAGCTTGGTGATCATTTAATTTACTTTCAGGTGGAAATATTAATTACATTTTTTGTGGATATCTCATATTGTAGGGCTCTTATTGAAAATCTTCTGGGATTCTCTTAAATTCTGGGCACATATACTCATATGAGTTAAGCAGGGAAGAATCATATGTTGCTCAATTATCTAATAGACGTTAAGAAGCAATATTTCATTACGTATTTTTAAATACAATAGATTGAACTTTTACTTTCCACATCAATGATAAATTACTTAAACGTCAGTGGGCAAACTAATAATCTTCTTTCATAAAGTAAATTAAAGTAAATTATTTTTAAAAAATAATCACAACAGAAAAAGGAAGAGAAAACATCATTTCCTGTTAAGTTTTTTATAGGAACATTTGTTTCTCATGATAAAGGTAAGATACATTTTTTAAAAAATGTAATCAGTAAATATTATATATAATTTGGAAAAAAGAGAGGTAAATTCTAATGTGATTTTAAGCCAAAGTCTAAGAAACACACTAATGTGACTTAATAAA